CAGTCCAGCGTTTCCACTTTCAAGAAAATTTTGGCACAAATCACAGGAATTTTTAAATTGAATAGTGAAAGCACTGGTCGTCACACTCTAGTGTGCATTTATATTAAAAGTTTGACAGTTTGTGGTGTGGTTGTTCCATTTGACTGGTTTTATTATATACTGTACTCTGGTTTATCATGGAAGTTTGTGGCATCAGAGACTTTAGAAACCTCCATATTCTTAATTTCAAATGCCCCACCCCTGGGAAAAGGTTTGCATTCCCATCCCCCGGGACGTGCTTGACAGGAAAATGCCTTGCAGTTGCCCAGGGGGAGGGGGACACTTGGATTTGACTGATACAAAACAGAAGTACTTACAAAAAGTCAGCAACCTCAAAAAGCTGTATAACCTCAGGCTGGTGAGGAGAAGGAACAGGAACAGGAGTGGCAGATGCCTCAGTGGAAGAATCAATAAAATCATCAGCGAAATCAGAGTCCCATAAAACCCTCTCTATCTCTGCTTCTGCTTCACTTAACCAGTTTGTTATTGGCATTGTACTCTCTATCCTTTATTCCGTCGCAGGGCAAAGGTACAGGACTATTCTACTATAGCTCTTGCCAAGCCCTTCTTTGTATTTTCTCAGCGTGAATTCCTCTGAGCTGCCAGGTATCTGTTTCGCCAATTTTCCATCTTGAAACGTTACGACGTATCCACGATCTCTGGAAAAAGTTTTGTCGTAATCCTCCCACTTTTTCAACGCTCTCTCTCTTACCTCGTCATAATCCATATCTCTGGACAATTTCACAGGAAATGACTTGCCACGCTGGATTTTGGCCTCGCCATATTCGTATTCCATCAAGCCAACGTTAATGATAACTTCATCTTTAGCTTTGGCTTGTGTTTCTCCCACGCGGCCCTTGTTTTTATTTGGATTGAAATGAGACTGTCTCTCTGTCTCCTTCTGCTTCATGTACGCCGAAAACGATGGAGGATTCGTGCTTGCTGATTGCCGTTTTCTTTTGCTGCTATCTGCATTGGCGCTGTCCGTTTCTGTATTTGACGCACTAATGATACCGCTTGTTTCGCCCTTTCTCGTTCCGCATGATGGGCACAAGAGCAGCAATACATATTTTTGAAGATAAAACACTATGTAAATTTGTGAACAAACGCAAATTCCGACTGCCAAACCACACGAGTGCTTCGGGAAGAGAATAAGAGATACAAACAAGGTACTAATGGGACTATTAGGGTGTTCGCAAAATGTTCCTACATGATCCCTAATGTTCGCAGATGCAACATTTTGTTGTGTATTGAGAATAAAATATATTTGCGTATCGAGTTTTCCAGTTCACGTTTCGCACGAAATTTATTCAGATGTTGTGAGATATGTTGTTGTGTATTTACCGAATTTATCGTGCACTGAAACGTATTTACGTGAACCTATACTTCGAATTGTGTATTGAATATTTTGTTTGTGGATTTCAACTCTTGTTTGTGCACTAATATTTTCTTTTGTGTATTGCACATAGGGGCCACCGTAAACACCAGTATGGTGATCGAAGTATTGCCAAAACCATGGATGCATCGTCCTCTAGCGCAGAAAATGGTCCCTTGTTTTCGTGTCAATACTTTCAGGAATGCGACAAATTCCTGGAACTATTGCTGTGAAAATGTCAAACTAGGTCTAGTTGATGTTTAGAGGGACGTTTGAAGGGGCATCAAGTTATAGTGAGCGAGCTAAATATATATTAAAAGATGCCTTATTATGATTGTTGCGTTTCAGGCTGCACAAATAACTTCAGGAATGTGGGAAAAATTCCTAGATGCCATATTCGGCATATTGTTTATTTTTTGTCCCTCCAAACAAGCGACTAGACCCAGTCCTCTGCTCGATTGGGAAATGGCTAATTATTCTATCACCTTGACCTGGAAGCCTCGCTCTGACGAATCAACATGAAAGGCTATTGACACAACACGGTTTGTGAGAACGAAGCTTCCGGGCCAAGAAAGAATTTGTGACGTAATTATAGATAAGATGTATTTCGCGTGTGCCTATGACATGTTGCCATTTCTAAAATGACGATTTCTAGACGTTACGAATGCGATGATGCATTCGCGATTTTGATAATATAGTGAAATGGAAGTGGTGTGAAACGGTTAAAATGAAATGAAGAAACACGAAGTTGAGTCAAATGAAACAGAGTAAAATTGTGTGGAGTGAATTAACTAGTATTAGAATGAAATAAAACGAAGTGCTTTGATATCATATAATCAAGATATGGTCTAGAAATTCGGCCAGACTTATTCACGATTCAGTCGATGAGTGTCCAGACCATGTCTCGATTGACTATGGCGATATGAAGTAAAGGTGACTCAATACAGTTTTTTTTTAAATGGAAAATTTACGATTCAGATCGTATTTTTGGGCAATTATTACTTGTTGAAAATATTATCTTACTGATATAAAACAACATTAAAGAGTTTGAATTTTGTGCAGAAAAGTTACGCAACTGCCGTTGCAAAAATGACGTTTCAAGATGGCGGATATTTTGGTTTTAAGGTAATTTAACTCGTGAAAGACATCGTAACCCCAAAATTTTATTTCATAAAATGATTTCACTTGGTATATCAATTATTTTGACAATTTAAAAAAATTCTGTGGAGCAATTATTATGAATAGTCACCATTACGTAATTTGGGGGTCATTGATTTTGGTTTCGAGCTAAACTACTTTAAAGCCAAAATATCCGCCATATTGAAACGTCATTGTTGCCATAGCAGCGGCAGTTGCGTAACTTTTATGCAAATATTCAAACTCTTCCGATGTTGTTTTGCATAACGTCAGCCTCTTAGCATAATTGCCTAACTCATTTTTTAAGTTTTGAGAAAAAACAGTAAAAATCCAAACCAAAACGTGCTCGTGACATAGGGCAAATGTTGTTTACGGCATATAAGAAGCTTTCTTATTGGTTAATGATATAGACACTTTTGCAGCATATGTAAAATGAGCATTTGGCCCAAAAATGAGTTAGGCAAGTATGCTAAGAGGCTGACGATAAGTAAGTGCTTTTTGTTTTGCAACAAGTAATACTTGGTCCAAAAATACGCATCTAAATGGAGGTGAAGTGGAATCAACTAAATTGGAATGGAGCACTGTGTAGTGAAATGAATTGACGCTTTTTTGAATCAATCGTAAATTTTCATAAGCGATAGGATCTTTGTTTCCTTCAAAATCTTTGCGTTTTTCCTTTTAAGTATTAAAGTGTGCAAATATAAATTATTGCGTTATAAGCTGGTAGCTGTGGTGATTCACAGTTATACATAATTTATAGAATAAGTTACAATGCGCGGGAAAAATAGGCCACATGTAATTAGGGCGCGAAGGGGGAAACGTTAAGTTTGCATTTGGTAAATAAAGGAAAATATATCATTATAAAGATTACTGCAGTAGCCCAGGACAGACAACAAGCAGAAAAAGCACAAAATTGGTCGCGATGACATGAGTTTGTTTTGAGGTTTCTATAATATTGTGCAAAGAGCATCCAAATATACAGCGTGAAAGTGGCAATATGTACATGAATGGGAGTGACACTGCTCTAATTTCAGTATATGACAGGGTTGCCCTGTTCTTTATATATATTGCCTTGTGTATATTAACAGATTTTGTGACTGGTTGGTTATGACAGTAAACAAATTGTCTGAAGAACAATTCGCAAACAATGATCACTCCAGTTTTAAAAGCCAATCACATGCTCATATTAGTTTGGATCCTATACGGGTATTTACCGATACTTACATGTGCTGTATTTCAGAAACAAAATTCTAGGAAATACTTTCAATTTGGCGCCATCTATTTAGATAATTTCAAATTATTGAAGATTTTAGGATATTTTTGGAATATGTTTCGCTTAAAAAGCGAACATATATAACTTTATCAAATTAGTTGGGATTTGTCTCCCAAGACCAAGGTCCAAGGGTATACTGATGTATTGACGAAATCTGTGTCGTGCCAATACTGTATATCAATGCACAAATTGTTGTCAGAGACAGGACCACATCAGCTTTCTTATTTGTTCATAGATAAACTGTTTAGTATGAGTATAGCTCAACTGAAATATTGATTTCATTGGGTTATCTCATGGTCATTTAAATCCCTCTGCATGGCATGAGTCTGCTCAGTAACCTCGCTGAAGTTTCTACACCCAACATACAAATAACTTTAATATTTTT